TTGGAAATTAGCAATCATATTAATAAAGAGAAGTACAAAAATTATGCTATAATGCATTTTGAAACTTTGACTATTTTAGTTACAATTTTTTGCGAATTTCTTCAGCTGTAGCTTTATCACCAGTATCTTCAACAGCTTTGATCAAGTTTTGCCAAGTCGCTCCTCCTTTTTCCATAACATCATCTTCACAACTCAACCAAGCTCCAACTGTATTTGTCAAGTGATCTTCAGTAAATTTATTTAGCGTTGTTAAATAAAGTCCCAAATTAAGTCCTAATGTTTTCCATTTCTTAGTATCAAATAACTTTAAAGCATTCAAAACATCAACAGCTTTTGTTATATCTGCAAAATAATAAATAATAATTTTGTACATGCATGTGTAAAAAATACCTAGTTTTTGTTGAGATGGGTCAAATGATGTAATAACATTACAAGTTGCTGTATACAACATTTTTAATTATATAGAAAATCCTCATGTACCTTCATTTGTCTTCATCAGTTTTTTTTTGCATTGAGTCAAACTCTGAATCTTTTTCATCTGTGATAAAATAGTTTCTGTATAAATAATTAATAAATGCAACATACCAATGATCTTGTGACTCTCTTCAAGTCTTAATTTTAATTTTTCTATTTGTTGTAGCTGACTCTCTGATAATTCTTTAACTGATGCTAACTCTGTTACAGTCAAACCATAAACTAAATTATGCATTTACATGTACATACACATACCACTAGTGAGTGCATTGACCTCATCATCCTTTGCATTTAATTGTTGTTGAACAAACTCATATTTTTTTATGACAGCTAAAAATAAAAACAACTTAATAAAATGGTGTTACTGACTTACTGTACAGCAACTTACCAGTCATCTTTTCTTCTTTATCTTTGAGGGTATATTGTAAATCCATAACTTCAGTGTCTGATTCTGCAATTATTTTTATGCTTTTGTTTCAATAATGTCATAATAATTTCTTACTCATCTCTTTTTCTCTAATAATAGCTTTAAAATTTTCAATCTCTTGATCTTTCGCTTTAATTTCTTTATTTAAGTCATCAATATCACCTGTAAAGTGTACAAATAATATTGTTCACTTAATTTTGTACACTATACAATGATACCTGATGTTAATGACGTCTGTGTTTGTTTAAATAGATCTACAACTGATTGATCATTATCAACTAGGTCTACTTTATCAATCTGTAAGTGGTACTTAAATCTATTAAGTGGCTCCAACTCCAACAACACATCATTGATATCCTGCAGTGTATGTTCATCAGGATCCCAGTTGAAGATAAATACAACTGTTTCACATAAAAGGCAAGATGAAGTAGCAACTGCCTGTAGCTCCTCACCAAGGCAAAGACTCACTGATATTGACATGCAGAAATCCTTAGCTTTCTCTTTGTATAACTTAATGATTGGCTCAGCCTCTTCTATGTTCAACTCAGAGGCTAAATTTTCAAGAGGATGTAAGTTAATGATACTGCACTTCCTCTTTAGTACATTCAAAACGTCATTAATTGTCTTCTTATCAGAAAGCTGAGGCTTCAGATCAGAAAACCAGTCACTAATAAGGTCCTTGACTTCATCAATATTAACGCTTTTCATTCTTGCAAAAATTCTTCGGACTTGAAAAAATGTAGAGCCAAACTTCATTCTCATGACTTGAAACTTTTTCTTCATATAATGAGGGAAGAGGATTTTATGATCACCATGTTTATCAATTTCTCTGTCGACAAATGATGAACCTACTAAATTAAAAGCTATAATCCATTACTCTATTATTTACTTTCTGGATTAGATGTGGATCTGGATGACAAGTAACATTCACTCTCTTCAACATCATCATCATAATAGCAAAAATGCTTTCCTACAACAAAAATAATTAAATTAGCTCCAAGAATAAAGTAAAATTTACTGTATTCTTCAAAGATGGTATCTCCAATATGAGCAGTCTCTGAGAACTTCCTCAATACAGTAACAAAAAACTCCAGGTGTTTGTAATTGGAGTGAACAGCATCTCGTACAGCTTTGAGGAGAACTGCTCTACTGTCAGAGACAGAACCTCTGGTAGACATGACATGAGACAGAGCTTCATCAGATATAACCTCTTCATGAAGCAACTTTGCCATACGAACTGGTTCAGTAATTGACTGAGAGAGAGCACTGTAATTATTCCCTCATATATCACTAGCACGGTCTTCATTACCACCTACTG